GTGTGAGAGTGAGTGTGTGTGTGTGAGAGAGAGTGAGTGAGTGAGCGAGCGAGTGAATGAGTGTGTGTGAGAGTGTGTGTGTGAGAGTGAGAGTGTGTGTGTGTGCGTCAGTGTGTGTATGTGAGAGTGAGTGTGTGCGTGTGTGTGAGCGTGTGCGTGAGTGAGCGTGTGTGTGTGTGTGTGTGAGAGAGTGAGTGTGTGTGTGTGTGTGTGTTCACCCTAAAGTCATTCAAACATAAAGATATTTTGAACAACACTGATGATCAGAGAGTTTCCCATTGACTTTCATTATATGGACAAAAAATTCAATGGAAGTCAATGGGAAGCGAAACGGATGAGTTCTTTAAAGCATCTTCTTTTACAGAAGAAAGCAGCTGGTGCAGGTTTGAGTGACTCGAGGGAGGAAATGACATCACAGCTGCTCACCGAAGGTCTGGTGGACGTATGTGGCCTTGATTCCCATGAGGTCGGGCAGCTGGTCGACGATCACCTCGCGCTCCAGGCTGTGTTTGTGCACGCGCTCGATGCTGCGCCGCTGCCAGTCCGTCCAGTAGATGTAGTCGCCCAGCAGCGCGAAACCGAAGATGTGCGGCAGGTTATCATTCACCAACCCCCGCCGGCCCGATCCGTCCATCTGCATCACCTGCAGAACACCAGAAACACACCTGAGCAATCCTAACATCGTGTCCTAACTACATGCAACACCACAAGATTCCAGCGACAAGCGGTTTGTGCGTCCACACCAGAAGCGACACAACAGAATCTATCATAACTATATGTATAAAGCATAGTTCTCTCTCTCCTGTGGGACGTTCAGTAAAGCTTTGTGTTGGCAACAGTAACCGAGAGGGGCGGAGCTTAGAAAAGGGTCATTTATAACATCTCTGCAAACAGAAGAGAACATCAATTGAATAAACAGGAAATGCTGTGAAGCTTGTGCTCAACCCTGTATCCATGGAAACGGTGACCGTGGTTACTAATGACGCCAGTAACTCTGAATTTTAATCAGAGTGGCTTTAATTCAGCAGATTAATGAATACAGCTCACCTTTAACCAGCTAACTCTTCTTTAACTACAGCACAACTTGAGAGTGAGAGTGTGTGTGTGTGTGTGTCAGCTGACCGCAAACAATCATTCACATATGCGCACATAAACCCAAGCCCTACACCTAAACCTAACCCTCACACCAAACTACAGGCACTCTTACATTCTCTAAACACTCAAAACACACATTCTGTATGAGCACACACACTCACACGTGTAAATGTGCCAAATTACCATCCAGCATGACTGGAGCAGCAGCAGTCAGACACACAGCAGCACATGAACATCTGAAGACGGGACACACACTGAGCACCTGAGACTGAACATGAAGAGGCGCTGAAGTGCTAGAACAACATCCTGCAGTGAGACGCAAGAGTGTGTTTACATCCACAGCGCTGTCTGCACTCCAGACCTCAGGAACACTACACTCACTTCCTGCCGCTCCCAACTCTCTCACACACTCACACACACACAGGTTTGTTTTTATGGTTTATGGGGACTCTCCATAGGTGTAATGGTTTTTATACTGTACAGACCGTATATTCTATTGCCCTACACCAACCCTACCCCTAAACCTACCCCTCACAGGAGACTTTCTGCATTTTTAGATTTTCAAAAAAACTCGTTCTGAATTATTTATAAGCCTTTTGAATTATGGGGACACTGAAAATGTCCTCATAAATCACCTTCTCGTTGTAATACCTATGTCATACCCATGTTATTATACAAATTTGTGTCCTCATAAACCACATAAACATGCACACACACACACACTCTCACACTCTCACACACACACTCTCACCCCAGTCCGGACTCCAGGATGTGAACCTGTGCGGTCAGTCACATGACCATGTTGGCTGTAGCTCTGGGTCACTGCAGCGCTGAAGTCAAGTTTCCATCTTGGGTGTTTGGGCCTCAGTCGCGAGTCTGCGCTGGTTTGACCGGAGACCGCAGTGCGATGTGGCTTTCAGATTCTGGGTCTATTCTAAACAGAGCGACCGCAGCTGGAGTGCAGGCCACAATCGGAACCAGATGTGGGCAGAAACCACAGAGCCGACCGTCCTCCTCCCGATGGGACAGAGCGCTGATTGGCCGAACGAGACAGCAGCGTCACATCCGTACGGAGCTCAGGGAGTCTCACGTTCCAGACCGATCTACACTTTCACAGAAAACGCTCATGTTTCTGATCATCAGATCACACGAACGCACTGAAACGACCCATGAAATGACTCGTGCAGTTCTTTCACTGAATCTGCAGGTCTGAGTGGCACATACTGAAGTGTTCAACAGGCTTCAGCTTCTTCAAGTGGATTTAGAGGAGCATCTGAGAGCCGTACGGGAACTAAACAACACGCATGATGGAGAAACCAAACCAACACAACACTGAAAATAGTGTCATTATTTACTCATGTCACTCATGATTTGTAAAAGCCACTGCTTTCCATTAGAGCTGTGTATCACCAGCAAAGTCACGATGCGATACGTATCACGATACAGATGCCACGATACGATACATATCACGATACAGATGCCGCGATACGATATGTATCACGGTACAGACGATACGATACGCATCACGGTACAGATGCCCCGATGCGATACGTATCACGGTACAGATGCCACGATGCGATACGTATCAGGATACAGATGCCACGATGCGATACGTATCACGATACAGATGCCACGATACGATACATATCACGATACAGATGCCGCGATACGATATGTATCACGGTACAGACGATACGATACGCATCACGGTACAGATGCCCCGATGCGATACGTATCACGGTACAGATGCCACGATGCGATACGTATCACGGTACAGATGCCACGATGCGATACGTATCAGGATACAGATGCCACGATACGATACGTATCACGGTACAGATGCCACGATACGATACGTATCACGATACAGATGCCACGATGCGATACGTATCACGATACAGATGCCACGATACGATACGTATCACGATACAGATGCTACTATACGATAAATATCACGATACATATGCCACGATACGATACAGGACTGCACTGAATTTCACCTCAGAATAATTTAGTAAAACAGCAGTTTATTAAACACGGCATACTATAGTGCCGTTTCTAACTATTGGCAGAGCAGCAGCTGAGCTCTGCATTATGAAGGGCCTCCATATGACTGCTCATGGGTGCAGATGTACCCTTCACACCCTTTTATGTTTGTATTAACTTATCTAAGTACAAGTATTTTGTGTGAGCAAACCTGCTGTAGGACCTGCCACACCATGCAGGTGGTGTCTCGTGAGCCAGAGATGAGGTAGATACCACAGAGATCCAAAGCCAGGCATGTGACCACATCTATATCCCACAAAAAAGCACATTATTTAGCCATCAGGACATTTGTTCATAATCAAATGCATTATATAATCAGCAATTTGCACCACACATCTTCTGAGAAGTTGAAATCAAGAGAGAGCTGTCAAATTTCTAAGGCCGCTAAATTATCAACATGGTCAAAACTCTGCTGAAAACTTGTTGCACACAATCTACTACATGCTTTCTGCCCTTTATACTTTTAAGAAAGCAAAATACATTTTAGTATAACTCTACATTACTCTAATATTTACAGCTTTTTATTAAGTAAACTTTACACTGTTAGCAATATTTCAAGATGAACACTTACTGGATTGAAGGAACGTTGGTTTACTTGATTTTATGCACAGTTTTTTTTTTTTTTTTTTAGAAACCTCGTACTTTTCTGCTCAATTTTAAACGTTGTTCTTGTATTCAAATTAAGCGCGGTCCACTGCTGCACACGTGCCACAATATCTATACAGGGCCAGCTGCAGCGATACCCGTATCTCTGTGACAATACATCGTCGTATCGAACACAGCACTGCTTTCCATACAATATAACCAGCAGAAGTTAATGCAGCTCAGGATATTTTAATGGCAAGAGCTATTGTACATTTCTTACCAGCTACACAGGATTTATATCAATAGAATAAAATAAAACTGAACAAAAAATATAAAATTAACCGATTAAAAGTACAAGATGTTTTAAATTTACATATGATAGTCTAAAATGTTTTCTGGAAGGATCTTATTATAGATCTTAGATTATTCACATACACATTCCTATTCCTAATCAGTTCTTCTCCAGAGTTCATTAGGACGGACACACACACACACACACTCTTTCTCTCTCTCTCTCTCTCTCTCACACACACACACACACACTCTCTCTCGCTCACACACACACACACACTCTTTCTCTCTCTCTCTC